TGATATTAATTCCAAAATTATTACAATTCAACATGCTGAATTAATTTCAAAATGGATCGATAGATTAGAAATTACAGATGAGATAGAAAATGCATACAAATTTCGATTGTTATTTCGTGGATCTCGTGATGGGTTTACACATAAAAAATTTCATAAAATCTGTGATAATCGACCTCGTACTATAACAATTATTAAAGTGAACAATAGTAATGAAATTCTTGGAGGATATAATCCAATTGCATGGAAATCCAATGACTATGAATTTTTTGGTGCTACTAAAGATAGCTTTATATTCTCTTTTAAGAATAGTGTCGATGTTGAAAGTTATATTTTAAGTCGTGTAAAAAGTGAAAAATATGCCACGTATAACCATAGTGATCTTGGCCCATCATTTGGTGTCCGTGATCTTGATTTATATGGATACACCGGTCATTGTAATGGTACTGATTACGAAAAGCAGATCAGAGAATCTACTGATAAATTTACTGTGGAAGAATATGAAGTATTTCAACTTATAAACTAAAATTGAATTTACAATAGTTGATGCGATTTGAACTTTTCTTATATTATTTAATATTTACTATTCTTTTTTTTTATTTTTATTGTATTCAGTTCTTACTTCCTTAAGCATTAAATTGTTATGAATTGTAGTTAATGAAACGTATTAGAATGTTAGTAGGCTATTTGTTATATTATAAAAACTGTGTTAACCGCCTTATATATTATTATCTGTCCACTTCTTATCCTAGTATCTAGATATTTTTTCCTATAAAATTTGTAAAAATTACAATACATTTAATAATTTTAATTTATCCTACCATTCTAAACATGTTTAGAATTTGGTATGATGTTATTTTAATATCTTGAATGAATTTATAAAACTCTACTTTTTGCTCGTTTAATTCATAATTTTTTGAACATCAAAATTAGTAGGTTTTTATTACATAATCCATAAATAAAATGATTTAAAAAAAATATTTTTTACTTTAAGTTACTTTAAAATAAAAGGAATTTGCTGAAAAACTTACCCACATCCGTCCATATAATCTAATTTCATTGATAGGGATTAAATCATAAGACGTTTTTAATATCACTTTAAACAGTTTTCTCTAATTTAAATTAAAATTGAAATATAAGAAAAAGAAATTGGTAATCATTATTTAATGATTAAATTTTCTTTATTCTAAATAATAAGACGATGGATTTAGGTCAACAAGCTGCAGAAGCAATCATAACCATTTAACAAAATTGTTAATCCTTTTCGTTTCTTTTCTTCTCTTTAAATTTATTAGATCATCGATAAATTTTTACGGAAATTATTTCAAAATTTACTTGAAGTTTAAACAATGATGAATATTGCGATGTTACTATTGAAAGTTAGTAATGCCACTTATATAAAGATATTTCGTGTTTCGTATGGTTACTTTTCTATTTATTTACGAAGAATTTTGACAATCAGTAAGAAACAATGATGAAACTTTGGTTCATATAAAATTACCAAATATTTTATAAGGTAAGTACTAAAAAAATTGTCAAAATACAAATTACAAAATGAATAAATGAATATATAACAATGTATTTAAATTTACGCTTTATATTTAGATATATTTTATGGTGGAAGAATTTCTTTGGAAGAATATGACACTATAAATATAATTAAAATCTTGGTCGCTGGAAGTTATCTTGGTCTCCAAGAACAGTTCACACCCATTTATAATAATTTTTGATCGAAATTAAGGCAAATTATATAGAAAAAAATTTAATTTGATATATCAAACAAGCCTTGAGAACGATTCTTTCTTGGAACTTCAAAAACTTTTATTGATTTAATGTCTAAAGATTCAGATAAGACTTCAATTCTGGAAATAAATTTTGGTTACAATTATTCAAAGTGATAATCTTCAAATGGACGAAATTCAAGTATGGAATGTGTTTTGCTCAAAACTCCGAAGTTCCTTCTGATCCTACAAATTTTTTAAAGATTCTAATACTTTGAAAAATAATTAAAATTGTATTAGATTCTATAATTTAACTTCTTGATGAGTTTCAGACGAAATTTTATCTATAAAAAATTTCACAAAAAAGAATTATATAAAAGTTTGTAAAATATTTTTGTATTCTTACAATTAATCAATTAAAAAATCAAAATCTCGTATAAAGTTTGTGACGGGTCTAACGTTCATAGCGCTGTCACGAGTTCGAACACTAAACAATATATACCTTAAACAGTTCAGTTTCGATAGATTTCAACGTATCAAAAACTATAAAAGACTATTAAGGAAAATAATATTGATTCCAAAATCATTACATTTCAACGTGCTGAAACAATCTCAAAATAGGCCGATTGATTAAAAATTATAGACGAGGTAGAAAATGTATATAACCTTAAATTTGCTTTGTGGATATATTTGATAGTTTTCCACATATAATCAATATCATATCATCCTGTAACGATTGAATTAGAAATTTTTAAAAATTCGTTAGAAACAGTAAAAGATTATTAGATTACAAGTTCAAGAAAAATATATTGTGAACTCAACAACGTGCTTTGGGAGTATGATATGTGGTCAGCGGAATCCTTACGGCCAAATATTATATCTAAAGGTGGAAGATGTTTGAGTGACTCTTACGGGATACGTGTCATGTTTGATACTGCACCAAAACGAGTCCTGATGGAATTAGTGGAAAAATAAAAAAAATCTTTATATTATATAAGTTGAACGAATAATTTCGTGAACTAACAATATTACTACGAAATGTAAATAAAGAACGTGAAAGTGGAGCTTTATCACCATATTTCTCGCCGATATCTTTATAGGAAGGTCTAATGAATTTTTGCACGACTTCCACGACTATACGATGAAATGGATTGCTATCAGACAATGAATTTAGTTTCTTGAATGAATCCGAAGCAGATAACGTAAGGTCAACTAACTACGAGAATGGGTTTGGATTAGGATGGATAAGGGCTAACAATTATTAAAAGTAAAAGATAGTAATGAAATTCTTGTAGGATATAATTTAATTGTGCGAGAATCTAATGAATATAGCGAAATTTGTGAAGAAGCGCTAAAAATTGTTTTATATTCTTTTTTAAGAATAGTGATAAACATAATATTTAAGTTATGTTTAAAGCCGTGTAGAATACATCCAAATGTTATACATATGTAACCCGGCAATCATTTTTTTCGATGATTGTATATACTCACGTGATACCGTGATACGGTATATACTTGTCTTTAGTTTCTTTTCAAGCGCTGCAAAACTTCATAAAATAAATAAATATATATATATAATAATAAATATAAATATAAATATTAATAATGATACACAAAAAACATTTTTCATTTGTCTTTAAATAAATAAAATTTTTCTTTTTAATGTATAATGACATTATTATAAATTATTATTAATTAAAGATTAATACTTAACTCTTAAAGCGAGTGCGTTATTTTGTGGGAATATTGAAATTAAATTATTTTTGACGATCGTTAGCTATTGGTTCAAAGAGATATATTGATTTATTTAATTTAATCGCTATATCATTTGACTGTCCTTTGTCATGGGACTTATTTATTTTTACAAAATAAGTTTACCGTTTTCATGGGTGGTCCAATATTTGTGCAGGTATCTATGAAGATCATACATATTAAAGTAACGTCTTTCCAAAGTAATAATAAATATAACGATAATAATAAAGGAAAAAAGGCTTATTAAAAAAAAACTTACAAAATTGTAAAAAAGGCATTTATTTGTTAATGAGACTACCATACGATGCTTGTGATTATTAAATTATTAATCAATCATTATTCTAATTGGATCGGATTTAATTATTTGTTTGTTAGTTAGTATATTATTTATTTGTATTACAATCGGCAATCGCAACTGCTTCATCGATTTTTTTTTATTTATATTCGGTTTTTTAAACATATAAATAAGACCGTTGTATCAAACTATTAAACCTATAAGTTTTAATATAAATAATAAAGTTCCGGAATTTTAGTATATTTTAATGATTAATACATATGTGAATTTAACAACATTCCATTAATATTTGTTTACCGTATTACAAAATTTTCAAATAAAAGCATGTTGATCATGTCAACATGTGAAACGGGAAGCGGAGAAACCGATGATGCAATGAAAACTGCCACTCAAAAAATTACGAAATTTTAGTAATTTAGTAAAATTTATTATTTATGTATCATGTGAAATACAGAATAAAATCCTTTCTTTGGTGTATTATAAAAATTTATCCTACTTCAGTTTTTTAATTTGTATCATAATTTTTAATTACTGTATATACTTTAAAAATTTATGATTCGTCGTTGAAATTTATTAAATTATCATGAGAAAAATGTTGGTGATAGTCTGCTTCAAGAATTTTGTCCCACGTGTTTATCATACCATGAACGTTTTATATTTGGTATTTTAACATTGGAAAAAAATGATAAATCCATTTGATGAGTTACGTACCCACGAATCTTTCCTTTCTTAATTCAATATTTTTTAATATTTGATACATACATGTATCCCTTTTTCTAAGTTTATACCAATGAGGTCACCATTTTGTACACCGTCATACCATCGTACAAAAAATAAAAAAGTAAAATAATAGTAAAAAAGTGGTCCAATCCTAATTATGTTCTAATATTAGTTTTCAAGATAATTTCACCTATTTAAGTTTAGAACAGTTAGAAACGGTTAAATTTGTGGTAAATCAAATACGATATACTTCCAGATACTATGATTTTAGATATATTAATAAAAGTATAACACTCTCTATAAGGAAAAAAAATGTTTGTGCTTCCAATAACAATAACCAATCCGAATGAATTATTATCTTTCATTGCATATAGGTTTGTTATACAAAATATGTACAAATCCTGTATAAATATTAATAAATGATACAATATATATTAGACATCCTTTCATCCTTTCTCCCCCAAAAAAAATTCTAAAAAAAAAAAAACTTTTTAAAAATCCTCTCGTATTTAAAAATGGTACAACTCAACAGAGACATAATTTTAATGATATTAGAACAATTAAAAGATGATAAACCATCTCTTCGTTGTTGCCTTCTAGTAAATAGAACTTGGTGTGAAATTACGGCACCCATGTTATGGAAAACACTCGGGAGAAAACGTCTACCTGATAATGTAAAGACTAAATTATTTAATGTAATAATTTCACATTTATCTGAAGATTCGAAAGGTATTTTGAAAGAGCAAGGAATCGATACGGAAGATTATGGACCACCTTTATTTAATTATATTAGTCTTTGGAGACATTTGAATTTACGACTTTTAGATGATATGATTTATTTAAGAAAAACTAAAGATTCAAATATGAATATTATAAGAAATGAAATTTATAAATTGTTTATTAACAAAAATTCAAAGTTTATTTCACTCTTTATTCCAGCTAAGTTGGAAATTCAAATTGACAATTTTCCGGATGCTGATAAATGTTTTTCGTTTCTCGAACTATTTAAGTGTGATAGCAGTATCAAGAAACCTATCTTAATAGGAATGTCTAATATAATTACTTCAATTAAAAAAATTAAAATTGAAAACTTGTATCACGGAAAGATTGTTAATTCTGGATTCGATAAATTAATTAAAGCTCAGAAAAACTTGAAGCAAGTCTGCTTATTGGGTGATTCAAAAAAGAAGAATGAAATATCACTCGAAGATTTGTTAAAAAATAATGTTAATCATATTCAACATATAAATTTAGGTTGGAATCCTAATACGGAATTTCTTTCACATTTTGCAAATTTAATAAGTTTGAAAATTTATATGAAATCTAATAACCTTGAGAATAATCATTTTCATTTAAAATCTTTAAATTTACCTAATATAAAATATTTAAAAATTTCTGGTGTACCAGTAGAAATATTAGCAGATATGATAGATAATTCGGGTGGTCATCTGGTTGAAATTAATATCAAAGAAACTAATGATAGACTCATCAAATCAATTTATAAAAAATGTAAAAATCTTAAATATCTTGAATTATCAATTGAAAATAAGAATCTTTTAGAATTTGAGAATTTATTAATTAATTGTAAATATTTATGTGGTTTAGTTATCGATAATGATAGTTCTATTGATATCAATAGTTTATTTGAAATTTTATGTAATTCTTCCCCGGTTGGTTTATATAAATTCAAATTTGCTTATTATGCGAAATTTAATTTAGAACCCTTGGAATCGTTTTTTAAAGATTGGGATAAAAGGCATCCAATGTTATTAAAATTAAACACTTTTTGGATGAAAAAGGCGCTTCAATCTCAGAAACTTTATCGAGAAATTTGTAATATTGTAGAAAGATATAAATCAAAAGGAACAGTAAGAAAAATTGAATTTCTTGATTGTGATAATTTTTTAGAAGATATTGATAGTTTAGAATGGTTAAAGAAAAAATCTCGACTTTATAGAGAATATTAGAGACGGCGGATTTGATTTACTGTATAAATAGTTTTATGTATTATATTATTATAAAATATCATATATTTATAACAATTTATTAAATATATATTTAAAAATAAAAACTTTTTTGAGTTATAACACTGTTATAACGTACATGTTTTTCACGTAAAAAAGTTAAGTGAATGAAATTTATTAATTCATAAATTTATAAATCCAATTTACCCGACATAGATTTTGATTTAATTCCGGCCAAGATTTTCATAATTCCAGCCCAAATCGTCTATTTTCAGGGTGCTTAATAATCGCAAAATACGATATCGCTTATTGTCGCACAAAATAATCCGATTTGGCAAACTAGCTCGTAGTTTTTTTTTTTTTTTTTTTGTTTCTCTTTCTTACCGTAAATATTTTAATATTTTTTGACAATTTATATTTTTTATAATATTTCAATTGTAAAAGATTATTTTAATCGAATAAAAAAATGTCTAAGCTTAATAAAGATATTCTTTATTTGATATTTGAAGAATTTCAAGATGATTTAAAATCTCTCTTTTCTTGTTTAATGGTTAATAAATCTTGGTGTAAAACAGCAGTTCCAGTTTTATGGAGGAATCCCTGGTCTTATAAAGGCAACAATTATAGGATTAAAAGTTCTTTATTCACCATTATTGTTTACTACTTATTTGATTCTATTAAAGAATTCATAACAAGTAAAGTAATCCAATTACCTTCAATTTCGAACAAATCACTCTCGTTTGATTATTTATCTTATTGTAGAAGTATTAACGTAATTACTATAAATCGTATAACTTCTATTGGATCAACTTCAGCTTATGATCAATTTTTTATTCAAGAAGAATTTTATCTTTTGTTAATGAGAAAATGTCCAGAGTTGAGATATTTGGATATGAGATCAATTAAGCATCAATTATTTTACTTTCCGGAAGCTAAGGCTCGTTTTGAATCGCTATGTGAATTAAAATGTGATACTTCCATTGATTCTTCATACTTTTATGGATTATCACGTTGCTGTAAAAATATACAAGTATTAATTATCACTAATAAAGTCATAATTCCTAATCATGGATTAGTCAAATTAATTGAAGTTCAGGAGAATTTAAAGCACTTTGAATGGAATGATGATCTTTTTGAAGATTATATTATAGATGATGATGAGGAGGATGATCCTTACGTAGGAATTCTTCTTGCACTAGAAAAAAATGCAGAAAATATCAATTGCTTAAAAGTGTCCTTTCAAGAATTAGATGATTATCAACATTTATTATTTCCAAACATACTTTTAAAATTCTATAATCTCAAAGAACTAGTAATTGGTGGTGATATTTCTTTTAATAACGATCAATTAAACAAATTGAAAATGGTGGTTTATAAGAAACTTGAAATTATTAAAATAGATTATAATGAATCTATTAATAAATTAGATTTTATTTCTAGTATAGTCGAAAATGGTGGAGAATGTCTTAAAAAAATTTTATTCAAACCTAATTATGATGCTCGTGAATTTAATGATTATTCACTAAATTTTATTCGTAAAATTTATCAAAATTGTCCTTTAATTGAATATTTATCAATTTCATTTTCACCAACAACAGAGCAATTCTCTGAATTTGAAAAATTATTAAAAATTTGTAAAAATTTAAAATCATTATTAATAGTTATACATAACTCGGGAAAGGTGGAAACTCAAAGAAAATTTTTGAAAAATGGCGATAATTTATTAAAATTATTAATTAGATCTGCGCCAACTAACTTGAGAGAAATTAGATTTTATGATGATTTTAAATTTTCTTTACCAAACTTGGAGACATTCTTTAAAAATTGGAGTGGTAGACCCGCACTTTCCTTAACTACAAATGATCCTATTTATGAAGGAATACAATATAAAGAATTGATTAATAAATACAAAAGTTCTGGAGTAATCAAAGATTTTAAATATGTAGTATTTCGTGGTGGAGTTGATTATCGTCTTTAATATGCTTTAAGTGATGATATGATGATGTTGATACAATAATCGAGTGTTTGTTTTTTCTTGGTAGCAAAAAGTTTGTTAGTCTATATATATATATTTTTTTTTTTGGTAGTAAAGTTTGTTAGAATTATGGTAAGATAAATTTTATGTTACTAAAGGCGTAAAGTATATTTTAAAGTTTGAATTGACATCGTTCAACAACATATGGGGACCCACAGGAAAAGTCGGGGCTCGGGCTTTAGTCTATATTTTTTTTTTTATTGGGAGATCAAATTATCGTTTACTGTAGACATTTTGTATAGGAGTTATAGGAGTTGATTAATAAATAAAATGAATTTATCGATTTACCGTAAATTTTAATTAGAATTTTTTGGGATGTTAAAGAAAATTTATTTTCTAAATACACTTTAATTAAGAGACCATCTACGCATGATTTTTTTTGGGGTTCAATTCTCAATTAGTTTTTTTTAAAAGTAACGTCGACTCAAATTGTTATAATCTTTGACAATTGTTCGTAAGCGTTTAAGTTTTCCATTGCAACTGCCAAGCGTAATCCGTCGGGCATCCTTGAAAAAAATAATAATGAATAGCGTCATGGTAATGTCATGGTCCGGATTGTTTGTTCGATCGGAAAGTATCTCTAGTTAATTTTTATCAACCTATATCAGACATATTAACGCTAACCTGTTGAATGTCTTTGTGATATTATCATCCATACTGTTTTACAAAACTCTAAGTTTCTTGCTAATATAAAAGTACAGTACTTGTATAACTATATTAGAGCATCGGGTCGGGCGGGTTGATCCAGGTTAACAAATTTATTGATCTGATATCTCGGTTGATAACGATAAAACAATATCATATTGTAATCTACAAAAAATATTTCATTTATTCCGCAATCAAATCATTAACATTCTCCTTTTCTCGAATATTTACCTGAATTACAGTATATTTAAGTAATTTCGCCAATTCATCAGAATATTTTACAAAAGCAACGGTACAGCTCTTGGAGGTAAATTTGAATGAATTCCTTAAGGAAAAAAGCAAAAGGAAAAAGGAATGTTAGTTTAGTCTCTAACCTATCATCCGAAATTTCAGCCCGAAATCCAAGGGAGCGCATTCAACTCATCGACCGTTACTTCACCGACAATCATTCAAACGTTTCGTCGATAGGATCATCTCTGTCACCGATAGTATCATCTCATATGGTAATTTTAATAAAATTAAATTTTTTTTTAAAAAAAAATAAGCATATTATTATTATGTTTTTAGTATAAAAATGAAACTTTTTTTAAATATTATACTAATTATTAATATTTACCTCGAATTTTTCGCCGAATCCCTTTTCCAAGTCATCCATTTCGTTGAAGGGCATTTCGTCGAAAATGTTGTTGATTAACATATTTCCTTAATCATTAATAATTCGATATAAAGAAAATAAAAAATGTTCAAAGAAAAATTCTCTTTAAACTATTTATTTTCACCTGTTTTGGAAATTTGATGAGTATGATGAATTTGTCAAATAAAACTAATTTTCTTTGTTTCAATAAAAAAAAAATTAGGCAAACGCGACTTAGTATAATATATAAATAATTCGTTTGCCTTTTCTAAAAAAATAAAAAAGAAAATTAAAAAATTACATATCTTCGGAAAATGTCTTTCGCTAACTAAAATAGCCATTCGGTAGAACGTCTATTCGCCGGGAAAATGGTATTTAAGCATCTCTTGCGTTGAAATAGACTTCGGCGAAAGTCCGGATATCAGCTGGGATGAGCAAAAATTAGAAAAAAAATAGTTCAATTCTCTTTAAAGTAGCTTTGCACTGGTCGTTGGAGTGGTCGGCGAAGTAATTTTCGGTAAGATTAACCAGATCCGACTCCAAGTCCAGGAGACGTTCCTAAAAAAAATGTGCCGTTCCTGAAATTTGATAAAAAAATAAAAACAAAAACCCTCACCGTCTCGCTTACCTTTTAATTTATTAGAGACTAAGGAGATTGGTCATTTCGTAAAGTGGGTTTAAACTTTTTTACGAAGAATTTGTACTACTTTTTTCGTATAAATGTTTTAAATTTTCTTTTATTATTTTATGAAAACATTTCTAACATTACAAATTTTTTTAAATAAATAATTTTCTATATAGATGACTAATAAAGAACGCAATAATTGCTATAAATAAATGATAATAAAATAGATTCAATTCTAATAAAGGTCGAGATCAGAGTACTATTTATATATGTTCGAGTTGATGTTGCCCCAATCAAAAAAATAAGACGCAATTATCTGACCTTACCTAACCCGTTCTACTCTTCAAAATTCCTATTGATTATTACATCAAGCGCTAGCCTTTTTTTTGCATCCTTATTTCCATCTTTAGCAGCGATATTATATAGATTGAATGCTTTTTCTTTATCAATATCTGTTCCAATCCCATTTTCATAACAGTATCCAAGTATGTATTTTCCCTTTAAATATCCTTTATCAACTGATTTTTTATAATGTTCAAATGCTTTAACTTCATCTTTTTCAATACCAATCCCATCTTGATAACATTTACCTAAACAATAATATGCAACTTCATATCCATTCTTTAACGCTTTTTGATACAAATCAAAGGCTTTTTCTAAATTTTTTTCTATTTCGTTACTTCTTTCATATAAAAATCCAAGATTACATTGTGCTTGACCATAATCTTGTTTAGCTGACTTTTCATACCATTCAATTGCTTTTTTTATATCTTTTTCAGTCCCTTTGCCTTTTTCATAAAGATATCCTAAACTGTATTGTGCAAGTTTGTTTCCAATCTCTGCTGCTTTTTTGTACCACTCGAATGCTTTTCCAAAATCTCTTTTCATTCCTTTTCCATTTTCATATAGACATCCAAGTTGATATTGTGCATTACTATTATTTTGTTTAGCAGATAATTCATAATATTCACGCGATTTTTCTAAATTCTTTTCAATTCCTTTACCATATTCATAAAAACTACCAAGCTTATATTGAGCACCGCTATTTTCTTGCTCGGCCGATTTTTTATACCATTCGGCTGCTTTTACTATATCTTTTTTTACTCCTTTACCACTTTCATAACAAAATCCTAAATTATATTGTGCCTGTTCATTTCCATTTTCTGCTGCTTTTTTATACCACTCAAATGCTTTATCTAAATTTTTTTCAACTCCTCTTCCATTTCCATATAAGCACCCAAGTTGATATTGTGCACAAACATAATCTTGTTTTGCTGATTTTTCGTAATATTCAAATGCTTTAGCATAATTTTTATTAATATTACCAATTCCACCTTCATAAAATTTCCCCAACTTATTTTGTGCAAATTTGCTTCCATTTTTTGCTGCTTTTTTGTACCATTTAAATGATTTCTCTAGATCTTTTTTGACTCCTCTACCATTTTCATATAAATATCCAAGTTGGTATTGTGCATAAACATTATCTTTTTCTGCTGATTTACTATAACATTCAAATGCTTTATTATAATTTTTTTCCACTCCTTTACCATGTTCATAAAAATAACCAAGTTTATATTGTGAATTTTTATTTTCAAGTTTAGCTGATGCTTCATAGTATTCAAGCGCTTTTTTAAAATCTTTTTCTATTCCTTTACCATATTCATAAATACAACCAAGAGTATATTGTGCATCACTATTTTCTTGTTCAGCTGATTTGTTATACCATTCAATTGCTTTTACTATATCTTTTCTAATTCCATTACCATTTTCATAACAAAATCCTACATTATATTGCGCTAATTTATTTCCATTTTCTGCTGCTTTCTTATACCATTTAAACGCTTTTTTCAAATTTTTTTCAACTCCTCTTCCATTTCCATATAAACATCCAAGTTGGTATTGTGCAAAAATATTGTTCTGTTTAGCTGATTTTTCATAAAACTCAAGCGCCTTATTATAATTTTTTTCTACTCCTTTACCATGCTCATAAAAAAAACCGAGTTTATTTTGCGCATCACTATTTTCTTGTTTAGCTGATTTTTCATACCATTCAAATGCTTTGATATCATTTTTTTCAATACCATAATATTCACTTTCATAAAATTTACCTAAACTATATTGTGCAATTTTATTTCCATTTTCTCCCGCTCTTTTGTACCAATTAAATGCTTCAACATGATCTTTTTCTAAGTTTTTACCATGTTCATAAAAATTACCAAGTTTATATTGTGCATCACTGTTTTCTTGTTCAGCTGATTTTTTATACCATTCAATTGCTTTTTCGATGTCTCTTTTAATTCCTCTGCCATTTTCATAACAAAATCCTAAATTATATTGTGCTAGCTTATTTCCATTTTCTGCTGCTTTTTCATACCATTCAAACGCTTTTTCCAAATTTTTTTCAACTCCTCTTCCATTTACATATAAACATCCAAGTTGATATTGTGCACAAACATTTTCTTGTTTAGCCGATTTTTCGTAATATTTAAATGCTTTGACATAATCTTTTGTAATATTATCACTTCCACATTCATAAAATTTACCTAAGTTATATTGTGCAAATTTATTTCCATTTTTCGCCGCTTTTTTGTACCATTCAAAAGCTTCATCTAAATTTTTTTCAACACCTCTACCGTTTTCATATAAACATCCGAGTTGCAATTGCGCATTAACGTCCTCTTGTTTAGCTGATTTATAATAATAATTGAACGCTTCAGAATCATTTTTTTCAATGAAAATTCCATTTTCATAAAATCTACCTAAATTATATTGTGCATTTTTGTTTCCAATTTCTGAAGCTTTATTGTACCAATAAAATGCAGCTTTTAAATTTTCTTTAGTTTCTATACCATGTTCATATAAAGTTCCTAAATAAACTTGAGCAATAGGATAATCATCCCTTGATGCCTTTAAAAGTAATTCAAATGATTTATTAATATCTTTTTTTATAATAATATTATTATAATAAAGAAAACCAAGAAAGAAAATATATTGAGATGATGATTGATTTTCTATCAACCAATCATAAATATTATTTGAAATGGGTTGTTTAATAAGAGAAATATTTTTATTAATAATTTGTCTCATTATATTAATTTCATAACCAATTTTATCTTGTATTTTAATTATTATTTTAATTAATTCATCGATAATCATTTTAACGTCATCTTTTAAATCGAAAATCTCTTTAATTAAATAATCACTTATAATTGAATTATTATTATTATCATCTTTTATATAATCTTCTTTCATAGGTATAATAGAATTTTTCTCGTGTTTCGACATTGTTGTTAGTAAAAAAAATTAAATTTTTTTTGTTGATTGGTTAAAAAAAAAGAAATTTTTTTTTTTTTTTTTTTTAAAAAAAAAAAGTTATTTAATTAGGATATGTTAGAAAGTCCTATTTATAAAAAAAATATATATATTTTTTTTTTTGATTATTAATTCATATTCGGAAAAAAAGGATTAATTTCCGTTTTAAAGCCTTTGTTTCGATAAATTAAAATTGGAAAGATATAAAAATTTGATTATATCCGAAAAATTAAATTTTGTAATACACTATAAAATTTAAAATGGATCTATTATAGTTACAAATTTGGTATAATACATAAAACGAACAATATATCTATTAGGAATATCATTGCTATAATTAATCACAAGTTCTGTGGTCGCAATGACGCAAGTCATTGATAAACAACAATCAGACGATCACCTTATTATGCAAAGTTGATTCTTTCTTTTTTAATGGGGTTTTCTCTTTCAAACAAATACCATTTAATTAACCATTTATATTCACGGCTTTTACATTTTTGGTTCAAATGCATTTTCTTTTAGACTGTAAATGAAACATGTGAAAAAAATTTTGTCTCAATAAAAATCGTTATTATTGAATATATATGTATTTTTTTTATCTTTTGTTTTATTTTTATACTAGCTTACTTGGGAAATAAAAGTACTTAAAATTCCAATGTTTAATTATATTAAACTGAGAGGTATGGATAAATTTCGCAGTAAGAATCTAATATTGCGTTATTTTGTCATGGTGCGTAACTTTATTCAAGACGTCAAAGTTAGTTTAATTAACAAAAAGTTTACTTAGTGTCTACTTTTTTGGATCAAAATTCCATGAGCCAATTTATTGTAACATATTGTGACTGTTGTGTCTCGGATAAGTTAGATTACATTTTGCTTCAGCTGACAGCTGAATGACATTCAGCCATATAATGCTAATCTTAACATTTAAGGCATTACAATACCGTGATTAGATGTCACGTGTTCGGTAAATTCGTATCATGAATTCGTTATCGAGGGCACTGTACTAAAATTTTTTTTCCTATACTCTGAAATAACCAATTTGAAGTTTAATTATCTTTTCTTTTAAATTAATAGTTAAATCCTAAAAATATATTTACTTTTTTGCTTTCAGATTACGATTTACGAAATCGCATTATCTAAACTGAGATGCAAAAGGGAAATGTTATTAGATTCATTTTGAGAATATAATAAATATAATGGTTTTTAGTATAAAGTATAACATTCGAATTCACTTTATTGATATGATATACTGTACTACGTACAGACTATCTTTAATACAAAGGTGATTTGAAAAAATTCAGTCCTTATTTTCGTATTCTCTCCCTTGCTAATGTTCCAATAATTTATGCTTTAACAATTCACCCCATTTATCTTTTATACCCGATTGAAGTAAAACCTCCTTAACAACTGTAACGGCTGAATTCAAGGCACCGATAATCCATGCATGATATATATCAGTATGTTCACCAGCCCAATGTATATTAAACTGATTATTGGATACAATAGATCCTCAAATTGTTTTAGTCCAAAAAGTGCAAATGCTCCAACAGTAGTTGGATCATTTGGCTAATAGATAGATGAATTGCCACGACCATCAAGCCACTCTTTGCCTACATCTACCTCTGTGATGGAGAATCTTAAGATTTTTGGCATAATTTAACATTCTCTTTTTGTGGGTATGGAGAGTATTTTGCTGCATCATTTGCCCAAGTGTATGAACCAAGTAGGATTGCGGGACCATCTTCGTCTGGATTACCCTGATCATCTTTATAATAGGATGGATAGATCATGGTCCGAATTGGAAGGTCAGTCGATGAGCTACCACCAGCGATAGGTCTACTATCTTTTTCCCAGAATCGAGATTTAAATTTTAAAAAGATCTTTGCAGAATTGTCATAATTTAATTCTCGAATCGCTCGTCTTCTGATATAATCAATGTCATCATTTCTGTCTAGTTTATCTATGATTTGTTTTTTGTAAATATTTGTTAATAGTATAAATAAATCAATGATGACCACAATAAATTTAAATATATATACTAACCAGGCAATTCCCATTGACGAACGACACCAAAGGGGCTATCATATACTTTTCCAGGTTTTTTTTCTATCCCATGTTTTTCTTTCCAATAAACTCGTATCTTACCATTATTTTCATTTTTCAATTTAAAAACTTTACAATCATACTTTATGTACTTGTCAAGAATTGGCTTAAATGCATTAGGGAATCGTTGCATTCCATATTTTATTGTTTTTTATTCTTGATTGTCATGTAAAAATATATAAGCATCCATCACGGCCTCAGCAAATGAAATTTTAAATAATCCTGTTGCAGCCTCTGTCATTTCATTGCGCCAATAGTTTGATCGATGTCTTCTTCATATGATACTCTTCTAAAAAGGTATCTTTTGAGGTAAGAATAAACGCTGTACTTGCCAACTTCCAAAAGTTCTTTAATTCTTTTATTGATGTCAGCATCCAGAATTTTAAAATAATACATCAAGGAATCGGCCAAAAGTATAAACCTGTAATCATTACTAACCGAGTTTGTAAAACCAAGCTTTTCGAAGTTTTCAGGATTGGTTGCGTATCCCTGGGTCATAATTTTATTGGAATCATCGCGTTTGTTGTTGTAGAAATATCGAACCACTGAATTATTCGTTTCATAAAAAATGTTTAGTTGATCGTAAAATTCAATCAATAAGTAATAAAACAAACTTACTTCTGATCGGTAAAGATGATCAATTTTGTAATCTCTTTCATAATTATTTTCGTTTTTACTGTTTTCTTCATTCAAATAGTTAATAGTATCGAATACCATCTGTGCCTTTTGGTAATCTCATGGCTCCAAGTTCGCCGTACAATTTATCTTTTGTAACATTATCAGAAAAATATTCTGTATGAACACGCCCACCTACACGTTCTTGACATTCAAGTATTTCGATATTTTTAAGACCAGCTATATCTAAGAGTAAGGCGGCGAATAAACCTGTTGATATCGTAATAATATGATTAAGAATTTATGATTAAAAACTCCCCAAATCAGAAAACTTATGTATACCTGACATTCCTGCGCCAATAATACAAATCTCTGATTATAGAAGAAATAGTTAAAAATTTGTTACAATAATATATAAATTCGGTAAAAACAGACATTACTTTGATCAATTGGCTGTAGTACTTTAGGCTCTATAGGGCAACATGGAGCGAAACTAAAATCTGGAATTCTATTGTTATTTAAGTGCAAATAAAAAAAAATATTTTTAAAATTATTGGTATCATAATTGGTTTATAAAAACGTTGATAGTATACATACACTTTACTATAATATTCATATCGAACATCTTGAGGTATATATTTTTTTACGAGGCGTTGGACGAGGTATATTATGAGGTGAGGAGTGAATAAGAGACATGAGTATTTAATTTTTTTTATAAAAAATGGTAATGAATTAGAAGGACTGAAACATTCACCTTTGTTGGATCATACAAAAATTAGGAATTCATTATATCTATCTAGTCTTACATTCAAAATTCTGGATGTGAATCCTTTTTTACTGGATATGGTGGGAAGAAGACCCTGAACTGTGTATGAAACTGGTCAGGTCTCAGATTTTTATGCAGAGCGACCAAAATATTTGCGCTGATCTCTCCTTTTTGAGATAAATGTTAGCCAGCGTTAAGCCCGAGAAGATAGATTTAAATGTCATTTATTTATGCATAACTAGGGTCTTGTGGGAAGTTTGATGCATAAATTTATAGCTTGCGTCTACTGACCAAAGAAAGGTTTAAAATATGCAAAAAAATGAATGAAACGTGCGCCAACTCGCATATAAATGATCTTCTGATCATCTGTTTATGGTTGTCATGATGAAAATTTGACAAAGAATATTCTTTCACAGCCCTTTAACAAATTAGTTCAAGTTGAAGTTCAGACAATTTACCGTATACAAAATTGATCAATCCAATGCATAAATAAAGAATGTCCGGAAATTATGTCCGGAAATTATGTCCGAAAATTGGCATTAGCCCTAGATTGGGCTAGATTGATCGCGAATTTGCGGTCAGTCATACCGATCTACAAAAATTGGTGTTGTAGAGGCGGACTTTATCTAATGATATTATTAATTTTGGGCGCAGTATTTTATTTAATTTGACCATACAAAATATTAACGATCCGGAAATGACGTTTGGTTAATTTACATGGGTAATCAAATTAATTAAAGTGCGATATCAGAATTAGGAGGAACAATGTGATTACGTGCGAGAGACTCGAGAGTATTGTAGAATTTAGTAGAGGAATTTATTTAGAAATTTTTATTACCATGCGTTTTCGAAATTAGTTAATTAGTTTAGAATAGGAAACTTTAATTTTTATTGGTTCTTAAATATATTTACGTAGGCTCAGAAGTGATTTTAGTTTACATAATTTAGAAATTAGACTCTCTCCTGAAATTTTACATTTTTAATATGAGTCTTAAAACTTGGAAAAAGCATATTTTATCCACTAATAACAAAACTTTATTCGGTACACCACCTGAGTGGCAATAATTAAACAACCCATGCACGTAAAGGTGCGAGTGGTCCCTACAGTGTCGATTTTATAATAGACGACACATTTACGTATATAGCTGATCGTAATTGTGCTCAATTGTAATTACGATCTGACTGGTTATACAAAGGGGGTTCATGTCCGTGCCCAGAAAGTGTTCAGAATGTTGCAATTTTCCGGACATTTTCCATTTTCTTCATTTTTGACGACGATTAATCTACATATTTTATTTATCGCTTCAGACTAATGACAACTAGTATTTACCATCCGAAATTATCAATATACTATGTACAGTATGTATACCGTATATATTTTTTATTTTTTCAAGGGAAATTTGATATCTTTATTGAATTAATATAATATAGTATATACTAAATAAACTCGACTAATATTAGCAAGAAAGCTAGGATGGGAACTCTAAATTTTGTCAGTGTTCTGGCAGTAGGCTTTTCTCAACTCAACAAAATAGGATAATCAAACCCAATGAAAGCTAGTAACTGACCTTTATAACTTCGGACTAGGGACGATGATTTATGGCATTTCACAATATATCGCAAAGTCACAAAATTTTGCAATTAACATAAATTTTAACATTACTAACCATATAATTTCACAAAATGTTATTCTTTATACTCAAATTATCGACCATTTTAATAATGTTTTAAGATGGTACTAGTGGTTATTTCCTTATATAGTAATTTGAAAGATCAAATTCACTTTTATCGCACATAAAATTTGTCTCACATTGTCGCAAAAAATCATAGTCCCTAGCTTTGGACAAAATTGCAATTGGATTGAATACAACAGCCATATATTTATTCAATATTTCACTATTTTCTTTTTCATAAACGACCAATAATTTTAGATAAATTTATTTGATCGATTCAGTAATTAATTCTAATTAAATTATTTCCTTTTATATACCACATCTTGAAAGATCTTACTTTTAAGGTTTATAATTTATTAGAAAGGGTTGACATTGTAAGTGCTAATGAATAAGCAAATGCATTTCGTATGTTTTTTTATTTAGATGGTAGAATCCAATAGTTCATTTTTTGTTGATCTGTGTTTTATTTCCCGTAAATGTAGCAAATTCACGGAATTTATAATCTCAAAATATAAATAAATATTTACCTTGTTTTTACGACAAAACGGATAAAATTTTTTATAGGCTCTACATAAAATTGTCGTTGCATTTAAAAAACCTTTTTCTGGTTAATTTGGATTTTTTTATTTATTTTATTTTTATTTTTAAAATTGACAATGACGGGAGCTATACAGGTTTGAGGGCTGAGCCCAGGTTAATTTGGTTCTGCCTGCGGGAGCAGTCACGTGACCGTAGCATTGCCTAATTGTTCTTCACATGAATCTTAATTAAAAATGAGTTTGATGCTAATATTATTAAATGAATATTAAAATATGTATTAAACAGTAGAAAAGAATCTTATTTTAATTGACATAAAATAGTCAAAAATGTTTATGTAATCATACTATTTAACTAATCGATGGACCACTAACTAAAAATAACTATGACCCGCGTATAATCATACATTTGTTTTGACGTAGTCGATCGGCGGGTAATCTGGTTTTGTACACATAATGAGACTTTTTTTTGCGACTTACAAAACTTACAAAAATAGCAATGCATAAATTCAGCCCTTATATTTGTGTTCATGTGTAAAAAGCGTCTGAAAAAGCACCATTTTGTACGATTTATGTCTTATTATAAAAAACACAAAATAAACAAAATGGTGCTTTTTCAGACGTTTTTTACACATGAACACAAATATAAAACAAATTAGCACATTTCGTTTCTTATTTTGATGTTTTGATATCTTAATCACATTTCTATGGGATATAAATTTAAACGTCCCCAGAGACGGTATATTTTATAAAAGAATGTTATTTCCCATAGGTACTACATTAAACAAAGGGTGGCTTCTGAGGGGAATCATGCTACTTGGAATTTTGAAGCTATTTAAGGTATCTCCCAGAAAATTCCGATAAAATTGGTCATACAAAATTCTATTATTAAAGAGGCATAATTAAAAGGATATACTATTATTTTACAACTAAGTAAACTAAGTCTTTTGTTGTTTTGATGTTCTTAAAAAATGTAGGAAAAATCATTAGGTGTTTCCTAAGAGGAGAAAACTCTTTAGTATATTGATGCAAAGACTGTAGAAAGGTGCAGAAAATTGCGGATAACATAATAATAGTGTACTTTATTTTTTTTTGTATGTACTTTTGATTCATAAGAATAATTTTTTTATATTGTTTAATATCAGAAGAGTATTTGAAAATTTATTATATATAAAAATTTTATCACATCGGTATAAAATATTTTTATTAAACAACTTTTAATTATAATTTCAATCAAATGTTAGAATTGGATATAGCAAATTGAGGCAAGCTCATTGCAGCACTGCAGGGTACATCTAGCCAGGTTGGTCCAGCAATGGAGATCTCATCCTCCTTGCATTCTATATTTTTATCATTGCCGTTTTCAAAATGGCTGAAATTTATGTTGATCATGAAAGCGGGGACATAATAAATTTCCAAAAACCAAGAAAAAAATATGTGCAAGATCATAGAACACACTTATTTAGGTTGATCAATTGATAAAATATCACATGATTGCTAATCATTTTGTTTTTGCAACCTTTTATTTTTAGCACAATAAAAAGGTGTATTTTTATGATCCTGTGTTACATTACATACATTACACATCTTTTCTTGTGTCTTTTACTTTGTCAACACCTTACGTGATCGGCATCAATTTCAACCATTTTGAAACGACGATGATAAGAACTTGTCACAACGTTCAGAGAATGTGAAACGACTATGCAATGTGACCAGATCATGAACTTCTATATTCGGCAGATAAATAATTCTTTATATGACATCCTAAATTTGGTTAGCCGTTAACAAATAGTAAGACAGAAATTCGTTATGTGAGTTATTTGGGTACCCTGTAAAACTTAATTGTGTTACTTTATGGAAAAATCATAGAATGTAAAAGGTCAACATTGGCTGTTAGTATATGTAAAAGTGTTGGACGTAAAACTAAAAGAAGAATCTTTATAACTGCTTTATTACCAAGTTTACACAGTTCAAATGAATTTACAAAAAAAAAGAGTATTCTTTATTAGAATCGTATATAATATTTAAATGAGGAATTTAGTTTTAAGTTACCATATGTAAATATGAAATATGAGACCCTGTAAAGTGGTAAAGGCCTAGTACGTAAGAGCCTATTACTTCACCAAATTGTTGTTCACAAGTTGTAATCCAATTTCTCCGATATATTTAATGGAGGATTTGAATGGCACTGTGCATAATGTTTGCTAAAACTTGTCTGTCGATTGAGTAAGTCCATCGCGATTTGTAATTTGCTCGATCACGCAATATATATTTTCTTCTTTGAAAATTATATTTTTTGCTCGGTAGTTAATATTTTTTGAGTGGATAAAGACTGGATGAAGCCACTAGACACCTACACACTTAATGCCGGCTAAAATTTTATTATATACGGTTATGAAGGATTATAAAGAAATTTGTTTATAAAATAATTGGACTTCTTTGACAATTATCCATAGATATAAATACTGATAAATGTTATTATTTTAAGATTTATGTGAAGTATGACATGACATACTAGTGTATTTGATTCATTCAGTTAATTGTCTGAAAAAACATTTATTGCCATAAAATGATATAAAATGCCGCATTACGTAATTACGTCTAATTAAATAATCAGTAATAAAATTAAAATTTCAATTAAAAGAGATTTTATTGGTTAATAACGAAGTAATTCGGAAATATAAAAGGGAGATAAAAAAGATTAAAGGATAGTAGGCACAGTACTGAGAAACCCACAAAATAATTTATAAATTTGATCACCGTTATGCATAAATGCATATGATTGTCGAAGGGACTCACTGAAAATCATCTCACCGACAATCAACTTACCGACAATCAACTTACCAATGGTCATCTCCTACATGTACAATAGTTTCACCGATGATCATTTACCGCCAGGATCGATCGCTGACGACAAGTGCTAAATTTTACATAAAATATCATTTTATAATAAAAAGATTTATTGGTTGTTTTTTTTTGTATTTTTATTGCTCAATATTACTTCATAATATAATAACCAGTTTATGCAAATATTTAATAATACTGTTTTATAAACACTAGTAAGAGCTTTAAAATGTATTTTATATAATAAAAAATACTTATTAATGTCACATATAATATGGATAGAGACTCTTATTGTCGCTTATTATTAAAATTAGTTATAAGAATATAAATACTAAAAAGAAAAAAAAAAAATCTTGTAACTATAAAATTAATAATTAGTACAGTATTAAGTAAATAAAATTCAAATGATTTTAGGTGAAATGATTTTCGGTGAAATAACCCTGTGATCCCGTCGGTGACATAATTTTCGGTGAACTCACATTGTGAATATAAACTGACCCCTATATTCCCATGATGTAGTACAGACAATAATCACTTGATATTGGCGTTACGGGAAATCTATAATTAACTTGTATGACGTGATGGTGCATGCAGCTGTCCATTATAAGTGTTTCATAACCTCTTAATATTTTTTTTTTATTTTGGTCTTTTTCGTTCTAAAATAAAATGACTTCAATAATTATAAAATTTATTTCTCTTGTGGCTCTTTTAATCCTCATCCTTCTTGAATTTATATATTTGTCACCCATATATGTGCTAAGTTTGATAATTAATTTTATAATAACATTAATATGGTATTTACCTTCAATATATCAGTTATATTCATTCATATTTACAGCAAAAGAATATAATTTGAGAATTAGGATTTATACATTATTGTTCTCCCCTATAATTATTATATTATATATTCCTATAATTGTAATATGTTTCATTGGATATGGAATATTTCTTTTATTAGTCAATCCACTAATAACAATGATACAAAGACCTGGTTATCCACTTTATTCACTTTCTTTAACGGCTGCTATTGCTTGCTTAATTTATAAATATAAATGCGATTACTATGTTGATGAGTATTTAATAGATACTTTAATATTAGAAAAAATCAAAGAAGTTTTACATTTTGTTAAAAAATGTTGGAATTTCAATTCTGCAAAATTTCTGGAAAAAATCGAACAAACCAAATCATATAATTGCGAATCAATATTTTTTACTTTAATTCATTTTTTGGATCTATCTATTATCTCAACGATGTTTTTCGTTATAAACATACCATATATTATATATATAGCTATAATTACTTTAAATATGTCAATATTGGCATCATGGTGTAATACGATTGGACTACCAGCATTATTATTTAATAAGTATTCAAATAGTTTATCTTACAAAAAATGTTTCTATTTATTTTTATTAATATTTTGCACAATTTTGTTTCCACTTATTTTTTTACTATTATTTATTATTCTTATACCACCTTATGCTTTTTATTATTATTTTGTGATGATAAGTAAATTTGTTTGTGAAATAATAGAATTTTATAAAAAAGATGATGGATTTTGTAACGTCATGAGCTTTTTTTGGGCATCAATAATTTTCCCATTCATATATCTGGATATAAATATTGATAATAGTTATTTTATTTATGTAGTTTGTAGAATTAATTTAAAATATGAAAGATATATGGTAGAAGAAATTAGGAAAGTATTGGATCCATTTGGCACATATACTGATAATATGTTTGATCCACTTGATCCATTTAATCTACTTTCAGTTATATATTTTCATGATGACATTTAATGATATTATGATATTAATGCTTCTTATGAAATAACTATTATATTTTTATAATTATTTTAATTATTTTCAAATGTAATCTTATTAAAATTATTTATATATGTGTTATATTTTAGACCATGAAGTTAATTAACTAAATAAATATTAAAGTGAAAAATAAAAATGCTATCAGTTATCAATAGATAATTTTATAAACATCTTTTTAAGTTCATCTTTATTATAGATGACAAATTTTATTATGAATAATTATAATTTTAATTAATTTAACTGGTAAATTTAGGGATGGGTAAAATGCGAAATTTTCATTTTATAATGCGCATAATGCGCATAATACGCATCATATGGATTATGCGCATAATACATAGTACTGTTGTTTAAGGTCAAAAAAATATAATCATTTCAATATATTATGAATATATACAAATGCCAACCAATTTCTTTTCAGATGCAGCAGATGATGTTAGAGAAACTTTTTTGCTACAAAAAAACAATTTTTTTTTGTAAAAATCTACTTATTTGTAAATAACATTTTCGTTAAAACTATAATTCTAGATAGAGTTAAGGTATAATTTTTACCAAAATTACGATATAATAAAACATTATATAATTTACCGTATTCATCCGAAAATAAGCAACAACTTTTTGCACGTAATGCAGGCCAAGATTTAGTAATGCGGGCCAAAAAATTCCATAATTCCGCCCATGTTACTTATTTTCGGGGTTGCTTATTTTCCGATGAATACGGTATCATGCGCATAATGCGCATTATGTGCATCACATCATGTAACGCATAATGCGCGTGGCACATCTCTACGTCCACCACGGCTAATTAATTGTCGGCGGCCCAATTTAAAATTTGTAAATTTACTAAATTTATTGATCAATATATCTGCGTGAAAAGCGCATTTTGTTTGTACGGAGTCATTTGACACTAGACTGGTGCTGATCAAAAATGAATTTTCTCAGGAGTAGTTCAATATATGTATTTTACAAATTCACAGAGTGCCCTCACTAACTTTACCTAAAGAATTAAGAGTAAAAATTCAGATACTTTTTAAGGGTAGAGGTGATCAAATGGCTAAAAAAAGATGATCATTTTTTTGCTTCTCAATATCTGTTGTAAAACTGTTAAAAATATTAATTAGAAAGCCAGAGTTTTTGTCTTTCAAATAAACTTTAATAAAATATAGTACAAATAAGGTTTATAACAATATGAAGTCGCCATTAAGATGCGAAACTCCTTTAGCAAGTTTCGAATCACCTAGAGAAAATAGTACCTTCAAATTAACTTTAAACCTATGAAACTTCACTGGTTAATAGTGTGTTAATTAAGAATATTTATATTAAAAATCATTGTGCATTACTTATTCAAATAAAAAATTTTCCTATTACCATTTTATTTTTTACCTTTAGTCATATTACTTTAAAAATCTAAATACATTCAAAAAGATCAAAAACAATTAATTTAATATTTGTTAAATAGATAAATTGCATGCTTGGCTTCTTTATATTTATATATCTGAAAAATTTATATGGTAGTTTGTGAGAAATCATAAAATTTCTTTTTGTTTGGGTCAAGTGATGATCGACAATTTTGTAAAAATAAACACTGCTTATAATGGACAAAATCACATTACACAATTATGACGCAATCATGCACACAATTATTTTATATAAGGAGCGTTTCAATCGAATCATCTTTTTATCTTTTTTCTAAAATAAAATGACTTCAATAATTATAAGATTTATTTCTCTTGTGATTTTATTAATCCTCATCCTTCTTGAATTTGTATGTTTGTTACCTATATATGTGTTATGTTTGATAATAAATTTTACAATAACATTAATTTGGTATTTCCATTCAATATATCAATTATATTCATTCATATTTACAGCAAAGGAATATAATTTGAGAATAAGAATTTATATGTTATTACTTTCCCCTATAATTATTATATTATATATTCCTATCATTGTAATATGTTTCATTGGATATGGAATATTTCTTTTATTAGTCAATCCACTAATAACAATGATACAAAGACCTGGTTATCCACTTTATTCACTTTCCTTAACGGCGGCTATTGTTTACTTAATTTATAAATATAAATGTGATTACTATGTTGATGGATATTTAATAGATACTTTAATATTAGAAAAAATCAAAGAAATTTTACATTTTGTTAAAAAATGTTGGAATTTCAATTCTGCAAAATTTGTGAAAAAAATCGAACAAACCAAATCATATAATTGCAAATTAATATTTTTTACTTTAATTCATGTTTTGGATCTATCTATTATCTCATCAATATTTTTCGTTATAAATATACCATATATAATATATTTAGCTATAATTGTTTTATATATATCAATAGTAGCATCATTAGTTAATACGATTAATATACTCTATTTTTTATATTGCAGAAAATTGTTCTATTTATTTTTATTTCTTTACATAATTTTGTTTCCAATTATTTTTTTACTATTATTATTTATTATTTTTATACCACCTTATACTTTTTATTGTTATTTTGTGACGATAAAGAAGTTTGTTTGTAAAATAATAGAACTTGATAAAAAAGATGATGGATTTTGTAACGTCATGAACTTTTTTGGGGTATTAATAATTTTCCCATTCTTATATCTGGATGTAAACTTTGATAATAGTTATTTTATTTATTTTATTTATGTAGTTTGTGGAATTAATTTAAGATATGAAAGATGTTTAGAAGAAGAAATTAGGAAAATATATGATCCATTTGGCCTATCCTATGATAATAATTCGTTTAATCCATTTGATCCATTTGATCTATAATATATATTTCAGTGATTACATTTAATGAACTATTATCATACATTTTTACTGTATAATTATTTTAATTATTAGCAAATATAATCTTATTAAAATTCATTATATATGTGATATTTTAGACTATGATGAAGTTAATTTACTAAATAAAAAGTTATTATTAAAAATATATAAATATTAAGGTGAAAAATAAAAATTCTATCAATTATCAATAAAAATAAATATCTTTTCAATTCATTTTCAGGATTTTTAGTATTGATGACAAATATTATTATGAATAATTTATAATTTTAATTTGACCGGTAAATGCTCGTCTATCACGGTAAATTATTGTCGGCGGCTCAATTTAAAATTTGTAAATTTACTAAATTTATTGGTTGATATATGTATCTTTGATTAACAGAATTTGGTGTGAAACTATGGTACTGATTTTATGGAATAATCCTACTGATCAACATTACCTAACTGAAGTTGCATGTAAAATGTTATTTAATGCAATACTCATTTATCAGAAGAGTCAAGAGATAATATTAAGAATCAAGGAATTAATATCTTTAAAGAAACATAGGAAACATTTAGATACAGTACAAATTTTTTAGAATTCATGATTAGTGTTTTTGTGAAGATAAAAATATAAAAAATTCAAAAAAAAATTTAAAATATTCTGTTATAAGAAATGAAATATTGAATCTATTTAATATTTAATTCACTTTCTATTGAAGCCATACCATAACTAATTAATATTTTAATATTTTATTTCTTTATTTAATAATGAAGTTAGCTAATTACAAAAAATTCAATTAAGTTAGACTATAAAATCTTTTGCTTAGAACTATTATTAATAAATATTTATGGAACTTCACCTATATAAGAATTTTCTGGAATTCTACCTGGTCTTGATGATAATAACTTGAAGATAATTAAATGATCTATAAATAGAAATAAAAGAAAGGTTATCCTATGATCACTCGGATAAATGAGTTATTGAATTACTAGGCTGATATCAGAACGCTCATCCACGCTTACTCAGGCAAATATACCAGATTTCATCTAGACTCACAAAGAATCCCGACAAATAAATATATTTGGAAAACCTTAGACATAAATATACGTGAGCAGACCCATGTACTAAATCGTAAAAAAGCCTTCATTGCAATTAAAGCTCAATTGAACACAATAACTCACCTAATATCAGGGATAATAAATAAATTTCTGTTGATATTGTTAAGAATAAGGTGACATCTAAAAATAAAATTTATTAATCGTATTTTTATAAAGGTCCAAAGCTACTCCTATTTATAAGAAATTTTTACATTATATTTAATATAAACTTTACTCTATTTGATTTTATTACTTATAATGAGTCATAATTATTAATTTTTATAATAAGATCAAATACTAACATTACATTCTTCTTAATTTCCTTTTAATAAAATAACTTATAATGAGTTATAATTATTAATATTTACAATAAGATGATTAATTACAAACTCTGATTACTAATTTTCCATTATATTTTTGAAATAATTAAATAATTAATTTGAAACTTTTTTTTTCAATAAAATGATTTATAGAAATGAGTCATAATTATTTAATATTTATATTATAATAAGATGAATAATTACAAACTCTAATTACTAATTTTTCATTATATTCTTTACTTACTGATTATTAATTATTATAAATTAAGTTATAGTTACCATTTTTACAATGAAATGATCTGTAATGAGTTATAATAATTATATTGTATTATTTCATTTTCACTTGATCACTATAAAATTTTGAATATATTTTAACACATTTTCTGTGCTGCATCTAAAACATATTGATATAACTTACATAATAATTTACATAGAGTTTATAAAAATATATTTTTTAAACTATTTTGTGTAAATTGGTTAATTTTAATGACTTATAATTTGGATTTGTATAGTGTCAGCCCAAATTATGAAATTTTAAATCACGAGGTTTCAGATAAACAATTTAAAGTATCGTTATACAAAATTTTTGTTATGGATCTAAATCTGGCTATAATTATAATCTTAGCCAGAATTACCATCAATCACTGTTATCTATGCATTTAATGCAAAAATATAAAAATCAATGATTTAAATGTTAAATTTGTGATCATTGAAATTGCTCCGCTACAAATTTAATAGTGCGCAATAAATAAAAAATGATTAATTAATCAAAAATTGAACTTTAGAATCAAAATTTGATAATCTTAAATTGATTTCAATCCTATAAAGAAGTAGAATTATTGTAGTTTATAAGTTTATTAAAGAAAAAGTAATCAAAATAATTG